GGGGTGACGTGGGACAAACCAGAGGGGGCAGGACGGGGAGGGGGAGGAGGCGGGGCGGCGACGACCGGGAAAGGGGGGACCAGGAACAAGGGGGGGGTAACCGGGGGACCGCGGTGGGGGAAGCGACGGAAGAAGGAGACGGACTCATCAAAGGTGACATCGCGGGAGTGAAAGAACCGGTGAGACTGTGGGTGGTAGAAGTGCCAGTCAGACGCGTCAAGGGGGAAGCCGAGGAAGACACAGGGAAGGGTGCGGGCAGTGAGCTTGTCCGTGCCAGAGGCAGGAATGTGAGCAAGGCAGCCCCAGACGCGGAACGCAGACGCGTCACCAGGTGACCCAGACCAAAGAAGGGTCGGCGAAACCTGAGGCTGTTGGGGGTGCGGCCACAGGTTAAGCTGGTGAGCTACGTAGCGAACGGCGAACGGCCACAGAAAATGGGGTGCACTGGCATGGATCATGGAGGTGCGAGCCACCTCCATGACCAAACCGATGCGTCGCTCAGCGACCCCATTCTGCTGCGGGGAGTCCAGCGAGGTGAACGTCTGGGTGATGCCCTCCGCACGACAGAAACGACCAAGGACACCAGAGGCAAACTCGCCACCACGGTCTGAGTGGAGGCGCAAGACAGGGAGACTGCGGTGGACACGCGCAGCGACAAGCCACGGGATAAGAACGTCAGGCACGTCGGCCTTCCGCTCCAGGGGGAACACAGTGGTGTTGCGCGCGTAGTCGTCGACAAGCACTAGGAAGTAGCGCTCTCGACGCGGCCCATGGATGGGGGCGGGCCCCAGACGTCCATGTGCAGAGTCTGTAGCGGTGCTGCGGTAGGGGGAAACGAGGAGGAGTGAGGGGCACGGCTAAGCCGGCCCTTGACGCAGGGCATGCAAGGTGGGGCTGGGGAGGAGGGAAACTCAGGGAAGTACCCGGGGAGGCCTAGGATGAGACCGCGCTGTGACATGTGACGCAGACGCGGGAGCGCAGGGTGACCTAGGCGGTGGTGCCAGAGAAGAGTCGGGTGGGTGAGAGACCGACAGGAGCAGACAGCAGCGACCTGAGGAGACGCAGCCACCTGAGGGGGGGTCCCTGCCAGGGGGGTCACCGTGTCCAGTGTGAAAAGTCCGGACACCGGGTCCCGTGGGAACGTGGACAGGGGGGCACCAGTGGTGGCCTCGGTACAGACAGCGTACCACTCGTGGCCAGGGAACGTAGTGGTGACGCCAAGGTCCTGAAGGCAGCCGACACCAACTAGGTTCTTGGAGAACGAGGGGATGTGCAGTCCTGTGAGCGAGCCCGAAGGAACCGCCGGGCAGGAGAGGGTGGTGGAACTGCGGGCAACTACAAGGCCGGAGGAGGGGTCAGCAAGAGAGACTGCAGCAGGGACAGGGAGCGGTGTCAACGTGGTAGAGTCGCGGAAGAAGCACCGGGAAGCGCCAGAGTCGAGGGTGAAGGAGAGCGTGGCAGTGGCGGCCGGAGGCGAAGCAGCGAGGGAAGCACCAAGGCTAAACAAAGCAGGGGATCCTACACCAAGGCATGCAAGGTGGGGCAGGGGAGGAGGGAAACTCAGAGAACGACCGAGGGAGGCCTAGGACGAGACCGTGCTGTGACATGTGACGCAGACGCGGGAGCGCAGGGTGACCTAGATGGTGGTGCCACAGGAGAGTCGGGTGGGTGAGTGACTGACAGGAGCAGGCAGCAGCAACCTGGGTAGACGCAGCCACCTGAGGGGGGGTCCTAGCCGGGGGGGTCACAGTGTCTAGTGTGAACAATCCGGACACCGGGTCCCGGGGGAACGTGGTAAGGGGGGCACCAGTGGCGGCCTCGGTACAGACAGCGTACCACTCGTGACCAGGGAACGTAGTGGTGACGCCAAGGTCCTGGAGGCAGCTGACACCAACTAGATTCCTAGAGAACAAGGGGATGTGCAGGCCTGTGAGCGAGCCCGAAGGAACCGCCGGGTAGGGGAGGGTGGTGGAACTGGGGGCGACTACAGGGCCAGAGGAGGGGTCAGCCAGGGAGACGGCGGCAGGGACAGGAAGCGGTGTCAACGTGGTGGAATCGCGGAAGAAGCACCGGGAAGCGCCAGAGTCGAGGGTGAAGGAGAGTGTGGCAGTGGCGGCCGGAGGCGAAGTAGCGACGGAAGCACCAAGGCTAAACAAAGCAGGGGATCTTACGCCTGACGCAGCAGGGGAGTCTACGGAAGGCACACCTACACTAGGCAACAAGGGGTAATAAGACGGAAGCACACTAGAGTCATCAGCATACATCATATGTAGAGCAGTAACAATGTCATCCATATCCATATCAAAATATCTGAACCCTACGACAAAGCAAGCTGTGCCAGTCTGGGAGCTCGGGCGACGGGCCGAAGCGCTGACGAAACAGCGGTCGGAGGTGTAGCCGATCTTACTGAAACGAAACCACGGCGAGGACTGGTCTGGAGCAGGTACTGACAGCGCGCGGGACCCAAACCACCACCCGGCAGCCCACCACGCGCACCACCACCACGTCCAGCGCTACCACCAGCGCCAGGCCACCCGGGCGGGAGACCTCTCGCCCGTCTCGGCTGCTGCTGCGACTGCTGCGGCTGCTGCGGCTGACGCAGGTCCGGCGGCAACACCGGCGGCTGCTGAGACAGCTGCTCGGCTGCACTTGTCAGGGTCCCCTCGTCCACACCACCACCAGGGGACCCAGCTCCCGCACCACTTACACCTGCACCCCCACCCCCGCCGCCACGGCCTGCCTTGTGGCGGCGACCCTTCCCCGGAAGGACATGTGCTGCAGCAGCAGTCTCAGCCACAGCAGCAAAGCTGTCGGAGAAGGTGCACTGAGCGGGGGCGTAACCCTGAAAGATAGGGACCGGCACAGTACCGCTGGTCTGGGCGATAGAGCGGTGGCGGGCCTCTATAAAAGACAGGGTGTCAACAAAGTCAGTGAGGGTGAGGTCTTCGGGGTGGACGCTAAGGAAGCGGTCGCGAGCAGTGGCAAGGCGGTCAGGAAGGCGGGTGGCCAGCAGGTAGAGAGCAGAGTAGAGGGGCGGCTGGTAAGTGCGAAGCTGTGTGTCAGTGCAGGCAGCGTGCCAGGTCTCGTCTATAGTGCGCAGGTGGGCGGCCAGGTCAGCGACAGTGGGGAACGACGCAAGGTCAGGGAAGAGCATGGGGAGGATCAGGCGACCTACCGAGGCAGCAGGCGGAGTGGAATAACGCCGACAACAGCATCTGGGAAAGCCTGGGCAGTGGTGATAGACTTGAAGCGAGGTCGCTCGGACAGGGGGAGGGCATTGCTAATAGCAAGCTGTGCGACAGCGTCACGGGACAGCCAGACAGAGCAAGCAAGGGCAGCGGCCGCAGCGGACTCACACTCAGCGGACGAGGGGTCAGGAGACAGTGCAGCGGGGGAGTCAGGGCAGGGGAGGGTACCGTCAAGATGGACAGACAGAGAGTGGCCATCTTGCCGCTGACCAGTAAGGTGGCGACGAAGGTCAGCAAGCCACGCATCAAACTCAATCGGCTGGCCCTCAGCGTCAAAGCGAAGCACCTCCGCCATCAGTGACAATAGAGGGCAGTACGGTGCGGTGCAGTACGGCACGGGTAGTGCAGTGCGGTGCAGGACGGTGCAGTGCGGTACAGTGCGGTGCAGTGCAGTGCAGTGCAGTGCAGTGCAGTGCGGTACAGTGCGGTGCAATGCGGTACAGGGCGGTGCAGTGCAGTGTAGTGCGGTACAGTGCGGTGCAGTACAGTTGAGTACAGTACCGGGGGGGGGGGGGGGGGTGGGGGGTTTGCAGGGCGGTGCTGATCGGGAAGAACGGGCCGAACCCGAGGCGGCGGCGGGCTGGCGACGACGCGAATGCAGGAGCCGGCCGGCGGACGGCAGACGCGAGGGGCCAGCAAACGGCGGCAACGGGGGCCGACGAGGAGCTGGCGCGACGGCAAGTAGGGCCGGCCACGACGGCGAGGAGACACGGCCGCGACGGCGGCCAGGGACAGCTGCGACGGCAGCTAGGGGCAGCCGCGACAGCAGGAGTGACCGTGAGGCAGCTGGAGACAGCAGCGACAGCGGCTAGGGGCGGCCGCGACGGCGAGGGGGCGGCCGTGAGACGGCTAGGGGCGGCCGCGACGGCGAGGGGGTGGCCGTGAGACGGCTAGGGGCGGCCGTGGGAGGGCAGGAAACGGGCGCGACAGCCAGGGGGGGGGGGGGGGGGGGGGGGGGGGCTAGGGACGAGCGCGACGGCCAGGGGGCCGGCTAGGGACAGGCGCGACGGCCAAGGGGCCGGCTAGGGGCGGACGCGACGGCCAGGGGGCCGGCTAGGGGCGGACGCGACGGACAGGGGGCGGGCTAGGGACGAGCGCGACGGCCAGGGGGCCGGCTAGGGACGAGCGCGACGGCCAGGGGGCCGGCTAGGGGCAGCCGTGACGGCCAGGGGGCCGGCTAGGGGCGGACGCGACGACCAGGGGGCCGGCTAGGGATGAGCGCGACGGCCAGGGGGCCGGCTAGGGACGAGCGCGACGGCCAGGGGGCCGGCTAGGAACGAGCGGCGGCCAGGGGGCCGGCTAGGGGCGGACGCGACGGCCAGGGGGCCGGCTAGGGACGAGCGCGACGGCCAGGAGGGCCGGCTAGGAGCGGGGTATGATGGTGGCTAGGGCCTAGGGGGGGGGCGGAAGCGTGGGCAGGCTAGGGGGGAACCTAACCTTCTCGGATACCATATCAGAAAGAATAATGACTAGAGTGGGGAGATACAAGGCAATATAGTCTAGAGAGTTGTACCCACTAAGGCACGAACATATATAGTCTACAGTAACTGCATAAGTTACGTTTGACAATATAATGCATTCACATATATACACATAGCCCTGATCCTTGGGTTCGGTCCCATAATCTGGCCACTGCTGCAGCTGCTGTGGCCACAAGGCAGAGTCTTCCAGGTGATGCTTCTTTCTGCTGCTCCAGGTGATGCTTCTCCTGCTCCAGGTGATGCTTCTCCTGCTCCAAGTGATGCTTCTCCTACTCCAGGTGATGCTTCTGCTGCTCATTCATCTTCCCAGTCACCACCACCATTGCTGCACTCCTCCCCTTCTGCCATTCCCTCATCCTCGTCCTCTTCCATCTCCTCATCCCCCTCCTCCTCCCCCTCCTCTCCCTCCACCTCCTCCACCTCCTCCACCTCCTCCATCTCCTCCACCTCCTCCACCTCCTCATCCAGTACCTTCTCCTTCCCCTTCACACTCCTCACGCGGCGGCGAGGTCGGATACGCGTTGAGAACGGCTTCCGCTTCTACCCCCAAAACGTCTTCACCACCTCCTCCCACTCAGGGTTGTAGTCTAGGAGTGCCATACTCATCAAGTCTTCTAGTGTTGCATTGCCCAAGCTGCCACGGCTCCAGCTCTTGATGATGTTCTGACGGCTGAAACCCCTCGCGCATTCCACAGTGCTCAGGGGCAGCACCGCCACAGCTACCCATAGGCACCCCAAGTTCGGGTACGCCTGCAGCCAGTCGTCGGTTTTCAGCATCGCAGCAAGCCCTTCATCAAACATCCGCTCCCCCACAGGTGCATCCTTCAGCAGGGAGATCAAGACGGGCAGCTCCTTGGTGGTTGCTCGCTTCTCCACTCCTGCAGAGCATGGGTGGTGGGGGGGAGGACGGTCCAACAATGCATGTATGTGAGGCTCGAATGGAGGGGACAAGAGGTTAACCAAGGAACTGGCAAGGTGCATTCTACTGTCAACCGAGGACAAACAGGCACATGCTCACCAGGTAAGACCTCTCTCCGGCCAGCTGCCCGGATGAGGTCGAAGAGCGACTGCAGCCAGTCCATACACTGGCTGTTGCACTCCTTCTTCCCTGGGGGCTAGGCATCAGGGGTGAAGAGCCTGCATCCAGTCAGCTTCTCAAGGTCCCCAAGGCGCTCGAGGATGTTACGGGCTGTCACCTTCGCAAAGTGCATGCAGTCACTGCAGCAGTCGTCGTGGTCCCCGTCCAGGCTTTCGTCGTGCATCTTGAATTTGTGCTCCACCTCCTCGCCGTTGGAGTTCCACCCCTTAACCGTGACATCGCGGTTTGTGCCGTGCGCGCTGATCAATGCAGTGAGGAGTGGGGAGTAGCTGCCCTCAAAGTTGGCGCCGCACTCCACGTAGCGTTGCTTGATGTACATCACTGTCCGCCTGACGAGTCCATAGACTACCGTCAAGTCGACCTGTGGGGCAGATGGGCTTGAGAGAGCTCAGAGGCACACACGATGAGACAACAGAACAGCACGGAGCGTCTTCAAACCAACCTGGCGGGCTTGGAAGGCCTTGTTGAGGGTGTTCAACAGTCTGAGAATGTCAGCAAGGAAGTACAGGTAGAAGTGGAATCTGTAGCTTTTGACGATCTTGTATACGGCCTCATCATACTCAAGGAGCAGGACGACCACTGCAGGGAGCACAGAAACAAGCCGGGCAACCGCATCACCTCGAGACAACCAGCATATATTGTAAATACCCTGTATCTCGAGGTTGGTTTGCGTGAAGATGTCCTGCAGCTCCTTGAACAGCGCGTGCCAGTTGCCGGAACGGGTTAACAACTCGGCGACAGAGCGGATGACCTTGTCGATGATGGCAAGCTTGGGAACGCTTGTTGCTGCATCTTTCACCGCCAACGCCTCTCTGCCACAAGTGGGTGATGGGAGAGTGCATGGGGTTACACACGAGACTGAACATGAGCATCGGTAATAACGAAGGAGGACGGGGTAGGGCAGCAGCGTGCAGGCACCATGCAACATTAGCATGGAATAGAGATCGGAAACCGTGCTCAAGCACCCAAAGAAACGACAGCAGGCGCGTGAATTCAGACATTTCACAGTGTTGCTTACCTCAGGGCTATGCAGTGGGAAGATACCATGTGAGGTATTTGCATTCGCATACGAGTCACCAACCCGCTGGTGGCGCCCATCATGACGGCAGCGCCGTCCGTGCTGATGCCCGAGATCTTCTCTGGAGCCACTCCGATCTTCGACAAGTGTTCCTGAATGAGGGCATGAATAGAGGCTGCATCGCATTGGTCTAGCGTCAGCAATGCTAGGAATTCTGTTACCACATGGCCGTCACGCAAAAACGTGGCAAAGAGGATTAGATGTTTCCTCCTGGTGCGATCGGTCGACTCGTCGCAGGAGAGACCGATGAATGGGCTGGCGTGCACGTGGCGCATCTGTGAGTTGTGCAGCCACGCTGTTGTGCAACGCATCAGTTGAGCGAAACCGTACCAGCCATGTACAAGGTGGGAAGGGGCAGATGCGGTAAACGCACATGGTGAACAAAGGACCTATGTTGTCAGTATTCGAAAGAGCATATTATCGTGTGTGGAGCTAAACAAGAGGAAGACATCGGCACAATTGCACCCGAATCATTACGCAAATGAACTCACGTTGTATAGTACGTCCCCTAACTCTTCTTTGGGAAGCCGGTGTTGTGTGATGTCATCATATGCTATCACATTCTGTCTGCCTCCCATCCCATGTTTTTTCAACTTGCATGTGTGGTTTGAATGTGCAAGCATTTGTGTGTGGTGTGTTCTGGAGTTTGGGAATGTGTTTTGTGTTATTCTGTCTGAGCAGGTATTTGTGATAATAGATCTTGAGAAGATCTTTCCGACGCAACAAGAATCGCTTCAATCGGAGCAAGAACGCGAAAGCTATGAAGATTCAAAGTTCATGAGCTTGCGTTACAATTGCGGCGGTTACTAAGTGAAGTTGTGGGGTGACTTTATATGGAGTTGGGACCTTTGGGGTTGGGGAAACTTGTCACTCTACTGTAACAGCTGCAAATTGGTTGGGAACAACCAAGCTAGGTTGGCAAGGGTGGCCAACTTGGATGGATTGGTTGGGAAGGGACAAAGGTCAAAGTTGAGGTTCCTATAGGGAGGGAATCTTTGTGCTTATGGGGTTTCCTTGGTTGGGGACTCTCTTGGGACCTTCCCTCTCATCCCTCTCTTCCTATCCCACCTTTCTCTTGCTCCTTCTAATTCCTTGTGAGATTCTTGAACTTTGATTGAACCTTGAGATTGAGTTAAGTTCTCCTCCTACAGCTTACCCCCTAATGCGTCGAAAGCCATAGCGTCGCGAATACTTCATCAATCAACGTGATCAAATTGGAACGGTAGCTGAATTAAAGCTACAACATCCAAGTTTCGCGACATTCCAACGGCTAGTTTTTCGTCGACGTCGTTTCTTGTAAAGACATTTTCTGTCCAAATTTCGGATTTATATTTTGAGTAATTCTAGCTCCTAAGTTCACCTGACTCCGTCCTTAATTCTAACAGCCGGACATTTCCGCTTCGATAGGAACCGAACCAACTTCACCCATGTCCCAATCATCAGGTCACACTGGCAGATGAAGTGGAGGACCCACAGGAGCGCGATTATTCTCCCCTTCTCCAGATCTTTAGCTTGTGGAAGTCGGAGATCTTCTTCTGCTTCACAACATCCTCCAACGCCTTCCTCTGTGACTTGATGCAGGCCTTGTGACGCGTAGTGCGAGCGGGCTTCTTCATCGCCTGAGTTAACACGTCCACGGCGCCCTCCCCGTCCCGACCGTACATGGTTCCGGCCACACCATGCTCAGAACAAACACTACATTTGAGAGAGGGGAGGCCGGTTTTGGGGGGGGGTGGTCGGTTTCAAGCCGAAAATTCGCTAAGGCTGATAAATCAGGCTACACGTAACTAGAACGTACTATAAATCAGGCCTATCAAAATAAGAGCCCCTAAAAATCAGGACAAGGGAAAATCGAAACCTGAAAAAACAGGCCGACCCCTGAAAAACACCATGATATACAAGCTTTCAGGCCTTTTGGCCTGACTTCTGAGGCCCTAATTTCATTCCATCACTCTGTAGAGTGATGCACCATTCAAACCCTACAATTTCACTATCCCGATATCCATGAAGACTGTGGTTAGAAAGCTAGGCAAGCATAGTTGTTGGAGTAAACCACATGTTTAGGGTGGTCAGGATCTAGAGTTGGTGGAACCAAGAGTAAAATGTCAACTTATACATATGTTTATATGCAGAAGTTATAGGCTAGATAGGCTTGTGTTCTAAGAGGTTACATCTCCAACAATATATCTCTCCTGTATTGTAACATGGTGACATGAGTAGGTTAGGTCCGCCCACCCGCTTCCGCCCTAGCCCTAACCTATCGCCCCGCCAGCCCCTAGTACGCCCGACGGCCCCTAGCGCACCGCCGGCCCCTAGCGTGCGCGTCGCCCCTAACGAACCCGCCGGCCCCTAGCGTGCCCGCCGCCCCTAGCGTACCGTCGGCCCCTAGCGTGCCCACCACCCCTTCACCACAAAGCAGCGGCAGCAGCAGCTGCAAGGGCAATGGTGGCAGCAGTAGCTGCAATGGCAGCAGCAGTAGCTGCAATGGCAGCGGCAGCAGTGGCGGCTGTAAAGGGCAGTTGCAGCAGCGGCGGCAGTGGCGGCTGCAAGGGCAGCAGCTGCAGCGGTGGCTGCAAGGGCAGCAGCTAGTGCTAGCGAGCTGGTTGGAGCAGCTAGTGCTAGTGAGCTGGCGAGTGTGCTGGCGACCTGGCTAGCTCTGCTGGAGTCAAGCTTGCTAGCTTTGCTGGCGGCGAGCTGGCTGGCTCTACTAGCGGCAAGCTGGCGAGCTCGCAGGTGGATCGGTGTGGGAAAGGGGGCTTGGTTTCCTCCTGGGATATCCTTAAAGCCCAAAAAAAAAAAAAGGAGGTGACGAAATCGTCTTAGGGTTGCGGAGCTCTATTGTAAAATAAATTAAAAAAAAAAAAAAAAAAAAAAAAAAAAAACCGACTTGTGCTTGTATACTTCTAAGAAATAACCGAAACTTGAAGTACACAACATTTAGAAGTGTATGTAAATGAAACATATTATGTGTTTTTATATTAGTCAAATTATGAACATGTCATGACTGCCAAGCGTGGAAACCGCCACCTAGAGCCGGTTCTTCTATTTCCATGTTTTAGATTCTTATGTTACTTTTCTGCATTGTTTATTATTACGCTACAATTCTTACTTCATCTCGTTTTCGTTTTCGTTTTCATGTCGTCCCTCTCGATACTGTGCGATATGATTTCCTTGCCCGGTGGCGAAAGTTGCCACCTGGCAGATTTTGTTTTTTTGCGCCTAGTGGCGAGGCTCGTCATGCGCACAATTTCTGGCGGAAAATACTGTAGCCGTCCAGTGACGTCGAATTTGTTCTGCCACCTGTTCGAATATAATTTTCGTCAAAGCGCGCCAGCTTTTTCAACGACGCGAATTACGACGGCGTATTTCAACTTTCCAGTTTCATTGATTTTCACCGTTTAGTTGGTTATGGAACTAGCAATACGTGAAACAATGAATTTTCGAACTCGTAATTCCGTAGTATTGAATGCAACACGTACAATGAATCAAATATATAGAACACGCCCTAATAAGTTCGAAAACTAATTCACAAATTGCAATCTAGCTGGGCAGTTTCTGATGGAAACGAGAAAATAAATGGAACTTCCTTCAGAGCTGCGAGAGCCTGGCCGTTCCACCCACATTCTCCAACTTTTCTTTCTCCCCCTCACACTCAATCTTTTTTCTTCCTCCATTCCTCAATCTCACAGCTTGCACGTCACCTCCGGCAGTTTTATTCTAGCGTTCTAGCCAAGGCCATTCCATAGTTGGGTTGAGTCCTCGTTTCTCTCTCAGCTTGTCGTCAACCTCCTAGTTTGATAGTCATACTAGCTTTTCCCTCGTTTCTTTCCCTAGGTCTCTCTC